GAAAGGCCCCTGTTCTGTATTCCTGTCTGCTTAAGTGACTTGCTTCCCCATTTGATCCCAATTTAATCAATTTTACCTGAATAATTGTGTTTGTAATCTTACTTGTCCCACCTCATGGCCACTTTGCCATTTCCCATTTTTTTTGCCCACCTTGGACCCACTTTACCTGGTGGTTTTGCTCTATAAAATTCCTAGGAGAAGCAGGGTCCTTAGCAACCCACTCAGGTTCCCTTCTCTTCCCTCTCTCAGCCAAAAGTTTTCTTTCCATCAATGAATACATTCTGTTCTTAATCTCCGTTGTTCCTAAAATTCATTCTTCAATTTTAGAGAAAATGAACTCGTCCCAGATATCTTTCAGTTTGGGAGTTTCTCTCCCCTAGAACAGGAGGACGTAGCTGTGGAAAAATTCCTGAGTTCCATCCAAGTACAATGAAAAAGAACAAACACATCTTGAAAAAACCCTTCCCATTCCACATCAGTGATGATGTCCACCCTACTTTAGGACCTACAACACTACCGGTTTCCTAATTTCTAATTCTGCCTCAAAAAAGATTAGATGAGCCCATCAGTACCCATAGAAGTTACATTTACTTAATATTAAGCTCTCCTTTTTTTAAGCTTCTGACTTTAGACCCAATCTCAGAACAAGCCAGCAGATAATCCTTCCTTTACTATCACACTCAGAACAGTCCGACTTCTGGAAACGTTTACTGGTGTTGCTAATTTTTACCAGCCTCCAATATTCCCTGTTCTCCTATTTCCCCCGTACAACCATTTCTTCTTGTTCAGAAAACGTTTTCATTCTGTTTACTCACATGTCAACTGACCTTACCTATGGGAATCACCCCTACTTTAGAACTTGATTTATATGAACATATCATTCAGTATTTCAGTTTTTAAAACCATGTCCAGAAACTGTCCACAGACTACAAAGCAATTATTTCAGAGATTATGCCCATTTTCCCTTTCTGAATGTACCAATACCACACGTACATATCCTTGCACATGCCCCAGTTCAATGCATATCTACCTCAGTGTGGGTTTAACAAACAGGAGCACTTTCCCCTCCCTTAATTAATTAAGGGAGGACAGTAATACATTAACATCCCCTCTATATTCCTCAGCATTCTAAATTCTATGGAAATCTCACTTAAACAGTCCATAAGCAAAAAATAATTTCCTTACTTAGCTTATAAATAAGGCAATTAACTAGGGTAGGGCATGATACAGAGTTGGGAAATGAGCCTTTTGGATAAGAATTAAAATGAGAATAGCCAATTACTTAGCAATCTGGGCCAAAAGTGAATTTGCTGCTCAACAAGGAATGCAGCCACCTCCCTGCTAAAAGGAGAGGCAGCCACTCCCTACTAACTGTCTTGAGTTTTCCAGGAATTTCAAACAAAATACCCAGTGTTTCTCTAAAATCTCCGTTTTAACACTGCATTCTGAGAAAACTGGTTAGAGAAAACGAGTTCAAAGTGGTTGTTTTAAATCCACAGAGCCATCTGTGACAGGTGCCCACTGAACAACTAAACATTTACTGTGCTCTGTTTTTCTATAATTAGTTCCGGATTGAGTAGCACTGGGCCACACACTCGGGACACTTCCGGAAATGAGGCAGCTTTTATTCCTATTTCCAATAAAACCTTTCCTAACATTCTTTTGGTTTGTAACTTCATTCCTCAATGTCGTGAGACCACGAGCTATTTTCGTGCAGTAACATAACTGCAAACACAGATCTCAGGTAAAATATTAAAGTGATGATTTTTTAGATGCTGTGTATGGAATCCAGGGTTTCCGCTGTGGCCCCTGCTCTCTCCAGACTGGTGGAGATATATTTGCGCCAGCGGCTGACCGAGATATCCTGGACTGGCAGTGTCAGAGTTGGGACTGTACGCTGGGAATGCAGCACTGCCCCTGCTTAAGCAAAAGGAAAAACGCTTCAGAGGACGGTGCAGCACCAAAGACCAGGAAGACCTCGGTGTCTGGAGCTAAGCAGGGAGGCTGGAAACTGCCGTAGCTGTTTGTGACCGCTTCGATCCAGAACACGCTGGATTCCATCCCGTCCCAGCGCCCGCCCCACAACGTTACCATTGCGTGGCTTGACGGTGTCCTAGAATCCTTTGAATGCAGTTCGCAGCTAGTAGAAATTACAGAAAAAGGTGGTCCAGTCAGCCCGGGCTAACCGTAGCGCACTCCACGTCTGCACTGGGCCGCCATCACACAGGAAGTGCCCGCCTCCCTCGGCACACCTGATTGGGTAGTTCAGAGAGCCCGCCTCCATCGCCAATTGGCTCCTGCTTCTTTGTCACTCAACTCAACTGAGTCTGAAAGAGAAACAAACCTCTTCCGGCAGCGGTGATTCCGCACGTTCTGCACCAATCTCTTTCCAAGGTGTCAGTCTCACTTCGCCTGAGGAATACTTGCGTTTAAGGGCTTGCATTTAAGAGTCTGTAGTTTTCTTAATGGACTCGGCGGACTTTTCCTGAAAATGGGTCACTAATGTGCTTAGGAGTTTCCGGGGTCAATGTCCTATGGAAGAGTCAATCCCCTCTTGGCAAAAAAGATAAATCCAGGCCAGGTCAGACCAAATTAGAATAGAGTGGCGGCCTGATGTTGGGACCGAGACAGTCGGTTTCATTGCCAATTTCCACACTGTCGGTCAATCTACTCAATTTCATTCATTAAAATGTATATGGCCCCTAAAAGGAATAGAAATACTGTGTAAATGAAGAAATTAGAGTTGCAGCATAGGAATATTCGCAAAAGTGTAAAGATGAAAGAAAAGCAAGAATTCTAACTCTCCTGCCGGACGTGGTTGCCCACACCTGTAATCCCAGCACTCGGGAGGCTGAGGCAGGAGGATCGATGTGAGTTCGAGACTAGCCTGGGCTGCATAGCAAGACACTGCCTCCAAAAAATAGGGCTGGGGATATAGCTCAGTGGCATAAGCGCCTGCTTGGCAAGTGCAAAGTCGTGAGTTCAATTCCTGGTACCACACACAAAAAAAATTATTAGGGGCTGGGGATTTAGTTCAGTGGCACAGCGCCTGCCTGGTAAGCACGAGGTTGTGGTTCAATTCCCGGTACCGGAAAAAAAATCAAAAGAAAAAAAAATTCTAACACCCTCAGAGAAGCTTCATACTGTTTCAAGGGTCCTATCAAATATCTGTATTCTGAAGATAAACATATTTTCAAGTGTGAGAGCCAGAAAGATTGCTGAAACAGCCTCACATTTGATCCAGCTGAGCACTTTTTTGTGATGAGGCTGGAATACAAAAGGACTTTAGGCTGTAAGTTCACCTTGCCCTGTCTTGGATCATCACATGTTCAAATTCTACACCTTTCAAAATTATTACTCCTAGGAAAAAATTACCTGGAGTCAAGTGATGTACTCATGTTAATAACTTTTTGGCTTGAGACATGTACATGATATTAATAAAGCACACTTTTTTGTGTGTCTGGTTGAATCACAGCTGTGAAACCTGATGGACCAAATCTGTACCTTGGTACACTTTTCTGAGCACCTTTCCTTTCTCTTTGGTTCCGGGATCTCTTAAAGTTGGAATCTTTGTCCTTTATTTCTATTCACCATATTTCTACATTAGAAGCAATCAAACCAATAATACAGTACCTGAAATAATGAGACAAAATAAAACTTTTCTTCTTATACATTGTGGTATGATGTTTTTGATTCTTCTGGGAAAAAACCAGAAAAGAAATAGCTGGGTCAGATGGGACCTCGAAGCCTAGTTTTTAAGAATCTCCACTGATTTTCACAGTGCAAGTAGACATCAATGTGGAGATTTCTTAAAAAGCTAGGAATAGAGGTCACATTCAACCCAGCTATTCCCCTTCCAGTTATCTTCCAAAAAAAATTTAAAATATCACACAACAGTGATATATGCGAGTTTATTGCAACATAATTTCTAATAGCTAAATCTTGGAAACAACCCAAGTGACTATCAACCAAGGAATGGATTAAAAAGTTGCTTTGTTATATAATGGAATACTACTCAGCCATAAAGAAAGACAAACTTGAGACATTTATAGGTAAACAGATGCAAATAGAGATGTACTCATAAGTAAAATAAACCTGACCAACATGTGAAAACATTGTATTGTCTCACTAGTGTGAGAATCCAAAAGAGTAAACAAATTCCAAAAGGTACAAGAGAAATTTTGAATAGGGAAGAAACAGATTCAAAGAAAACAAAAACTGTAATGGGATAAAGGGGAAAGGATTGAAGGGTAAAGGAAAAAAACATATACATACCCCAAGACAGGTATGATAGTTATATATCTGGTACATCTCTTGGTACACTGAGGGGAAAGTTTTGTGCAAATAATTTTCTGGACAATGTTTCATGCCTATATCTTGTACTCTGAACAACTACTGTGATATATAACAATACACAATTTGTTAATTATTGTTAGTCTCCTACTAGCCTGTTTTGAAATGGCCTTCACAGAGTCTGTGTAATGTGTGAAACTACTACCACAGCTGATGGATCACATCCACTCTAGCCCTCCCTGTTGCTTGCTGAACCCAGTGCATGTAGTAATCGCTGAAGGTGAGTCCAGAGACTGCACAGGAGAGTCTCAGGGCCCAGGCTGCACCAAGGCTCCCCCGGACTCCACCAGCTGCATTTCACACTGGACACCTGCAAACACAGAGACATCCTGCTCAGGAAACTGTCACATAGGCCCACTGTTTATCCTACTCCTGTCCAATCACAAAATCAGTATCTCTTGTTCTCCATTAATCACCATTTAAAAAGCAATAAGGAAAATACAGATCAGTGCAAGCTCCAAAGTGAACCATCTTTGTTTAGTCCTGTTCACCAAGTGACAAAAGCTGGGCTCTTCTCCAGAGCTGCAGGATCAGGGCTGGGATGGTTTTCATCAGCAGAGGGAGGCTCTATTTGCATGTCCTTCTGCTATAAAGTAGGTCCAGGTCTGGGTGTATCCGAGACTGTATTGACCACAAAAGAAGTAATGTGTTGGTAGACACTTGGAGGCAATGACAACAACAAGGACAAGATAAAGCCTTCCTGTTTGTGTTATAATAAATATCTGACGTTCAGTTTACCTAAGGTCTGCATGTGCCAAGAAGTAATGGATTTAGTTAATCGGCTACATTAATCTGATGAGCATGTAGCAGAAGCATAGATCTCTATGTGATGTTCTCTCTTTTTTGGTACCAAGAATTGAACTCAGGACTTTGTTCTTGCCAGGCAGGCACTGTACTGTTGAACTATATCCCCAGCTCTATGTGATGTTTTAAAGAGCTTATATCTTACATCTGATTAAAAAACTCATTCCTTTGGGCCTACAATCCTTACAACACTGCTCAACAAATCCCTGAGCTATGTCAAGTCACAGTCCAAATGCTTAATGATGTTTAGCCCACCACTTCTTTTAATGAGTGTCCATGATATGTTTTTTCAACATACTAATTCTTCCATCTATGTAGAGAAAAGGATTCTGTGAAGTATATTCTTTGATTCTGTAATGTTTTATGTTTATCATCTTTGTATTATAATTTATAAAATTATTTTAAATTGTTTTCCTTCTTTTATTTTTTATTTTTTGTCTTTTTGAGGCAGGGTCTCACTATGCAGTTCAGGCTGGCCTTGAGCTCACTTTGTAGCGCTGGCTGGTCTTGAACTTGAAACTCCTCCTGCCTCAGCCTCCTGAGTGCTGGGGTTATAGGCATATGCCACCACACCTGGCAAGTTGTTTTCCTTTTAATACTGTGTAATTGAAATCTGTTTGAATCAAAATACACAATTTGTTAAATATTGTCTTATCTTTCACCATTGTCATGAGGAGTCAGTTTCTTCAAATCCTCTACTAGTTTTCTGAAATTTCCTCTTCCTACCATTTCCCTTCTTTCACCGTACCTACAGGTAGATATTGTGGTATTTAAGTGACACTATATCAGTTTTCATTATCTAAAGTTTATAAAAGTGGAAGCATATAATATATATTTTCTTTCATTACTGAAAAGAATAAGTATTTATAAATTTATGCATGTTGGGCATACTATATAGTCATTGAATTTAAAAAGAATTTTGTCCAATCAATATATTTTCCAGGATTTGCTCATCTACTGTCTTGCTTAGTGAACATAATAGGCACCTGAGAAACATTCTTCTTCATACAACAGCACTACTTCATATGTTAGAAACTCCGCCAAGTATCATGTATTCTTCTCGAATTCAAGTAATTTGGGGCTATATCAAATAACATGCCTGAGCCAAAATTACCACAAATTGTCCAGTAGATAAAAGTTGAATATTAGTCCCATCTCATGAATTAAGTCATCCTCCAACTTACAAAACAGGATGAGAGATATTAAGAGGTCATGGCAAAGGAATGTGTTTTCTGAAATCGGAGAGAAGCAGGGAAGGATCAATAGGGGATCAGAATGGCTAATGACAGGTAACTGCATTTTGCTTTGTTCATAAAAATAAAAACATAGAATTTGCCTCGTTACTCAAGTACACTAGAATCTCTTGTTTTACGGCTAGTCTGTTTTGGCATCTATTTCTTCTGAAAGTTTAGGAACTGTTTAGGTTAGGTTTAGCGTAATTAATTTTTTGTTTGTTTCATTATGTAGGCGTGCAAGGCTCAGCTGAAAATAATGGCTTTCTATAAGCTTTACTTAATACTTACCACTTTGGGCAGCATTTCATCTAGATAACCTGGGGGCATTAGCACTGCTCCTGTTTACGATGTTTCTGGTTGCTGATCTCAACATTTCTCAGAAGAGATTCAACTCGCCAATAAGTACATGAAAATATATTCAACATATTCTCCATTACAGAACTTTAAATTAAAACAATAATGAGACCTATATTACTCCAGGAGGAATGGCTATCATCAATAACTCAAAAAAACAAACAAACATATAAAGAAGAAACGCTGTTGAGGGTTCAGGTCAAAAGACAAGTTTTTATGTTGTCGGTACAAATTAAAATGATATAGTGGATATTGTTATAGTGGTTCCTTAAAAACATGAAACTAGAAATTCCATTTGAAGCAGACATTCCCTTGCTATGACTCTTACTCTTAATTTTAAAGACATCACACCACAGTGATTTATGCATACCCATTCAGCAGCACAAGTTATGCCAGCTAAATTTGGGAAGGATTTTAGGTTATGAGGGAGATGTCCATGAAGTTACTGGGTACCCAGCACTTTATTTCTCACTCTTCAC